GATTTTCAAACAGCCCTTTAGGTTAGGTTAAGTTTGATTTGTGTTAACATTTTATAACATTTGGTTCACGAGCTACAGTGGTTTTAGTGACGCTACTTTTGTAATTTTCAAAACGATAGAAAATCTGAATTTCGAGTAATATAATGCAATGCTTTTTTACTGGGGAAAAATATTGTCCAAGCAAAGCAATGGATCAAAAAATGTTATGCTGACTCCACTTCATCGAACCAAATGGTAGAGAAGTGGTAAGCTGATTTTAAAAAAGGCCGTACGATCACTGATGATACTGAACACTGGTCGCCCAAATTAGATAGTTGTTTCAGAAAACATAAAATCGTGAATCGAAATGGCGTGAGATAGGTGATACCTTGAAGAATTCAGAATGTGTATTTACCATCAATATCAATTATTATACGGCGTTACTGATGCGATTGAAGGCAGAAATTGCCAAAAAACGACCCCAAATTAAAAAGAAAAAAGTACTCTTTCACCAAGACAATACACCGTGTCACAAATCGATCGCATTAATGGCAAAATTACACGAGTTACACTTTGAATTGCTCCCCCATCCACCGTAATTTTCAGATTTGGGTCCCAGCGACTGCTACCTCATTACAGATCTAAAAATAATGCTCTAAAGAGTGCTACATTCAATGTATTATATATTCACTCTTGAAGGATATTATGTCGATGAATAAAGTAGGAAATAAATGATTTTAGGTTTTCCCTCATCTTTCAAAATCTGGTTATAATGACTAATAAGTTCAATAAGATCAAGAAATATTCCTTTTTTCGAGTCTAAAATCTTTTCTGAATGACCTCTAAGAGCAAAATGATTTCTACTGCAAAACATATCTAATAATATCTACGATTATTTTTAAAATGTTGCGCCATTTTTCTTTTTCATTTTTTGTACTTCACATTCAATAGTTTTATCATCAAGTAATCTTATGATAAGGCAAAAGAGGGTTCAAATGTTGGCATTTGTCAAAACCAGAAACAAAGGCACAATTTGTGATACAAAATAAAATGCATGGAAAACAAAAAAGTTTATTTTTTGAAACACTATACATTAACCATTGCCTTCGAACCTATTTACCATTGTAAGTTTTCAAAAGAACCATTTACAATAAAACCTCGATAGGACGGAATTGCTTGGGACCATGATATTTTTCCGTGTTAACGGGGTTTCCGTCTTGACGGAATTCAAAAAAATTAAATTGAATTAAATTAAAGATTACATATTTATTTTAAACCAATTTATACATAATACATACAATTTATATTTTTAACTTAATTTTATATTTATATGTACTTATTTTTTTTTTTTATTACATATTTATTTTTAGCCAGATACATTAATAATAATTATACTTTTTGAAAAAAAAAATCGGTTATTGATTTTTGCTTTTTGTTTCGTAAGGCATCGCGTTCCACACACTTCTTGGCTCTCTAAGTCAAATTCAAAAATAGCTCACTATTGGAAACTGTGAAGGAAAATGTTTGTAGTTCCTCGAGGTAGCAGATAGCAGTTTTGTAATCTTTTACCAGATTTTCTGGTTCTTCATATTGATTTTCGTCGTTGTCTTTGTCCTTTTCACATTCATTTTCAATCATGGATGTAGCTGAATAATGGATTTGCTGTGTCTCAAGTAGGCCATCAATATGAAGAAATTCTTCTAGGTTAAAATCAAGTTCAACAAAGATATCTTGAATTTCAGTCAGGGTATTCTCATTGGGATTCACATCCATTCCGTCAATAAAGAATCCAGTTTTACAGAAACAGATTTTTTAACACATTCATTTTTCAAACAATTAATCATGTTATATTTCCGTCTTAGAGAGGGTTTTCATCAACTTTTATTACAAAAACGTGTCCGTTTCTGACTTGACAAGGTTTTCGTCTTGGCAGGATAAAATTATATGTAATTTGAAACGGGACCAAAAAAATGTTCCGTAATAGGTACCAAGGTTTTACTGTATTACTAAACTTACGATTATTTTCGTCATGTGGATAGTAGTTTTGTGTAGAAAAGATTGGAGGATAATGTTAAATTAAAATAGCTTTTAACCTTGGTGTTATTTTGGGCCATTTCGCAGGATCATTAGTCAACATATTTGGTATTATCCTGTTTTTTTATTTTTATCTCATTGTTAGTATCAAACTCAATGGTAGCATTTTGTTATTTTTATTTCATGGTTAGTATCAGTTTCTGAAGGAACTACTATATTTTCTTTTGAGCTAGGTTTCTGAAGCCATTTGCCTAACGATGCGGATAAACTTTGATTACTAGATTCTTTTAGTTTTTTTTTGCTTTTCAAACCAGACACCTGAAGATTTTTTTGAAGCCATTATTTTAACTAAGAATACCTAAAAAAATGTAAGTTCTAAGAAGTGGGTGTGATAGTTAGGCAGTTAATGTTAACGTACAACTAAATTATTAACGAATAAATTATAACATTTTTATATAGATTTATTAACTTACATGTGTGCGTACAGTGTACGACGTGTCAATAGCAGAGACGGCTAAGAAATGACAATACGATTACCCGCATCGTACTAAGCATTGTAATACGCGCTATCGTCACTTTTAAAAATAAGATTGTTGATATATAGACGATAAATAATATTAAAATACATTTTATAGACAGGACACGGGCGATCCGATAACGATAAGCTCATGTTCATACGTGTTCACACACACACGCACGCACCGTTTCTTGTAGTAAAACATGAATTTAACGATAAACAAGATAAACAAAACTATACACATTCAAAATGTATAATAAAGAAATGTCGTTTTGAAGGTAGAATAAAAATAAGTACCAATTTTAGGCGTAGGCACAGTTCACCATACCCTTGTTGCTACGTCACTGCCATAATGTCGCACATCAAGTGAATTACATTGTTCTATACCAGTGATAGTAATATCCAAACTTTTTTTCTTTGGCGGGCCACATTAGTTAACAATTATCTTAAAAGGTTACCAAATACAAAATATTATTTTTCAGAAAAAATTACATAATTTTTAGACCACTATTTACTTTTATAGGCAATTAAAAATATTATTAAAATATTAGAAAACAATGAAATATGAATATGTAAAATGGCAAACACTAGCTTTGTGATAATATACCACTACTTTCCTTTTTTTAAAAAAATTTTCAACTGGGGTCATAGTCATAGTATGAAACTAATAATAGTTATTAATAAAAATAAATACATTTAGTAAGTATTTAGAAGGAAGTCATTGGTCAAGGTATAACATGATTAAAATTTTTGATATTCAAAATAAAACTATTTTATTTCAAAAAGATTATCATACACAGAACAAAAAAAGGTTTTATTTTTATGTATCTGAACAAATGAATAATAATTATTATAATATAGAAATATATGTATGTATACGGTTACTAATAGCAAAAAAGCAATCAACAAACTTAAACAATAAAAAAAAAAAAAAAAAAACAATATGTACTATATATATATATATATATATATATATATATAGTATTCACCCTAATATTATTTTTAATAAATGATAATTTAAACTCAAGAGTTTAGGTAGCTTAATGATAAACATTATTTTTATAATATGCCTTATAAAAATAGATAAGTACCAAAACATAATTTATGATTTAAAAATCAGTAAAAATAATTGAAAAAGCGATTAAATGTTGTTTCAAACATTAGATGATGTCATTAAATGTTTACATCATTATACTATTAAACCAATATCATCATATTTGGTAAGAATTAAAAAAAATATATGTATTCTAACTTAAAAATACATTTTTAAAATAAATGTCATATTAGTTAGGTTAAATTGGTCATATTAGCTATACTCTTTAAAATCCGAGTTAATTTTATTATTTTAACATTATTGCTAAAATTAAAAGATGAACACAATTATTATAAATTTGGCTTGACACATTTTAACATAAGACCAATGGGCAATTCAAAAGATATGGATAATATAAATATAATTAACATCATGGTTATATTATTACTATAATTTTCAAATAGTCATTCAGTTTAAGTGATGTTATATGATATTACATTTATAAAATTATTCATACTTAAAATATTTGATTAACTAAGAAATTAAGACTCTATTATTTAATAGTAATTGAATACTTTAGATGCAAGAAAGTAATTTATTAATTATTTTTGAATAAAATCAATAGCTAGTAATTAGATTTAAATAAATAAAAATATTGAAAGCATTATCTCTATCTTTTGAATTATCAGATATTTTCATAATAAATAAAAGGAAACCCTGTGAGCATGTAAGTCTTAAATAATTAGACTTAACTTATACAATCTAAACATATATATATTTTTTTAAATTATATGGCAATAGATACAAACTATTAGATTTATTATTTAAAATCAATATTTGGAGCAATAAAATAAATACAAGATATCTAATCCCATTCCCATTAACTAATAATATAGTGATAAGACAGTGTTATCAAATTAAAGCTAACATAATAATTAAAATATAAGTATTAACAAAATAATTAAATCAATCAACACATTTATATACAATAAAATTGGTGTTAATGATATTCAAACCATATTAATCGAAACTTTAATGTGACACACAATTTTTTTTTTTTAATTTCCATGTGATTGTTGAGTCAAAAATCAAAGACTTAAGCATCATTTTTGTCTAATAAAAAAACTTTATGTCTAAATTAATAATCAAATAATGTGACTAGTCTTTTAGACAATTTTTTTTCTTACAGTTAAAATATGGTACATCCAATTTTAATTACAAATGAAGATAGTAAGTAAATTCAAATTCATGAAAATCAAATAAAAAACTTTTTTTTTTTAAATTGTAAATAATATGCAGAAAGAAAATGTTACAATTGCAGATTTATTACTTACAATTACTGATGTTAGATATTTAGTTTTTTTTTAATCTGATAATATTAATATAATTATTCTAATAAATGTAAAATATTAAAAGGTAAAGAAGTGTAATGCTTATATAATAACTAATCAAGTAAATATTTGATAAAAATGTATTATAGTCTAAAATCTTAATAAAAAAATAAATCATAATATCAATGTGAATTTTCTTTCCCCCAAATGTTCATTTTTATATTATTATATCCTGATGCTTTTTAAAACATAACTAACTCAACGATTTTCTGGGATATTACTTTTTTTCGGTGACTCAGTTGAATTTTCATCAATTGTTGATGATCCTTTTTTATTAAAATCAAATGTGACCTTTGTTAGTGTTCTAGATCCTTTTGATTCACCAGACTTCTCACCTAAATTAATTATGTTACAAAAATATACATATACAGTATGGTTCAAAATGTTCTTTACAATTTTCATAACCCAAGTATGAAAAGGTATTAAATTAAATTTCAAAACTCCTCTTTACTTAGTTTTTTCATCGTTTAACATTTTCTTTATAAATGAAGAAGGCATTTTGAAAAAATATTACATAGAATGTATGAATTTTAGGTTCCAATGTTTTTGCAGAAAAAAATATCCAAACCAAAATGAAAATTGTAATAGTCTTTTTGCATAACATGTATAAAATTTAAAAAATATTATTAAATAATGTTTAATCAGTTAGTAAATCTTACCAACAGATAAATATCTTCTCCTGGGCAAAACAGAGTTTTTACGCCAATTATCATCATTTGTTGAAGAAACATTAGATATAATATTTAATGGCTTTAATCCCACATCTGATGCCATTTTTAAAGCATCAAGAGTAGAGTTTTCAGAGTAACTACGATGGCGTTTCATACGTGCCATTTTCCGCATAGATGCGTCTAAGTAGCCTTCACTCTTAGGTAATTGCTAAAATTAAAAATACATTTGAATTAAAAATAGGTTGAAAATTAGCCCTTAAAGGAAAAGGATTGAGAATTAGTAGAAATAAAACAGAGTATAGAGAGCATGACTTTGGAGGAAGATTCCAAGAAGTTAAGGGTATGAAGAAACCAATGACAATAATTGGAGATGTGATACGTGAAGTCGAGAACTTTAAATATTTAGTATCATTTGTACAAAAGGACAGAGGGAGGGGTGTTGGCATGGATATAAAGCAAAGGATTAAGTGCAGTTGGTTGAAATGGAGAGAAGTATTGGGCATTTTGTCTGATAAGAGTATTTCAATGCGGCTGTAAGGTCAATTTTACATGAGTGTTGTGAGACCAACTATGCTATATGGTTCAGAATGTTAAGAGCACATAGAATAAGGAATGAATATGTGAGAAGCAGTATCAGTGTAGTGTCGATAGTGAACAAGATGAGAGAAAATAGATTGAGATGGTTTGGACATGTGATGAGATGAGAAGAAAGAAGAATAGTTATGAAAATGAACATCAAAGGAAAAATAGGAAGATCAAAAAATAAATGGTAGGATGCAATTTAAAATGATATGAGAGCTGTTGGTGTGCGCATAAGGATATAGAAATTTGAGACAAGTGAAGGTTTAAGACAAGAGTGGCTGACCGCAAATGGTTTGAGAAAGGTGAAGAGAAAAAAAAAAAAACTAACTATTTACCTCTTCTGCTTTACGAAAATCTTCAATAGTTTTAAATTTATTTAAAAATTGCTTTAATTTAGGATCTACTTGAAGTGTTTTGCTATATTTGTAATAGGCTAAAAAAGCCCAAAATTTTTCTAATCCATAAAGTTGACCTAGATATAAATATTCAAAATAGTTTTAATTTATATAACATAGAATTTTCTTTGTAATAAAAAAAAAAAAAAAATTATATTAACCATTTTCATAATCTCTTATAGTTTCAGCTTGAAAATCTTTATATAATTCAGGTCTAAATTTTTTTTCAAGTCCGTAACTGTAGTACCGGAATAAACATTCTAATCCATACCTACAAACCAATAAGTGCATTATAAATAATTAAATATTCTTTTTATGATGAAATAATTTTAACAAACCTAAAGCCACTATTTGCATCTTCTACAGCCATAGTTTGAAATTCTTTATACATGTTTTTATTAAAATTGTCACGCAAAAAAAATGACCAAAATCTATATAATGTGTTCATTTCTTGAGACATGCCAGGTCCAAGTCTTGATCTCTCTAAAGAATAAATACATATGAAATTTAAAAAATAAATAAAAATATGTGTAAATTAACAAATCTAAATTTTTAGTTAATTTAACATTTAATACTCTAATTAACTTAGAGTTAATGAATAAACTTTTTAGGTTAATAAAAAAAAAAATTTAATCGTAAGGTATTTCTTGTCAATTACAAACCTTTTAAGCAACGCGAATGATATTTGTGATATGCTTGTTGAGTAAAATTATTTTCCATGAGCAATGCATGAGAAGGATGGTGAAAAGTAGGTAATGATTGTGGTGTGCTAGAAAGATAGCCTTCACTCAAGTTAGGGCTAGTTCCTAATGTTCCACTACTGCAAATTTAAAAGTTCACAATTATTTTTATATATATTCCGCATCACGAGAGACTGCATCTTTGACGTGTATCACTAATAACCTCGATAGTTATAATGGGTCTACTTATCAGCTCTCATTGTATTTTTATTGTTAAGTTTTATGATGGGGTATATCCAATGAGCATATTTATACATATTTTGGTTGCTGACTAGATGCCATATATTATGGCATAGAATGTAGTAATTATTAGTTAAAATGAATAATAATAAAATATTACCCAAATGATGTTGTACGAGGTCTAGAGTGTGCACGAGAGTCTAACACCCATCCAACATGATGTTCTCTATCTACATTAAATCGACTTCGTTTTCTATGACCAGATGATTCATCAATGTCACCATAGAAATGACGACGATTAGGTTTTTGTAAGTCAAATTTAACTTTAGTTTTAGTCTGTGTTGAAGTATGAGCTTTTTCTTGAATAAATGCATTTTCCTCCTATATAATAAAAATATTTAATTTATTATACTAGAACATGAAAAGTATAAAATGTATTACTTTTGTCTCTATAGATTCCATAATTTCAGTCAAATTATCAATTGCAAGAGAAGGTGGTGGAGGCGGAGGAACCTGATTAACTTTTTTTGGAGTTTTTGGTACAAGCCTTTCAAAAACCTCTTGAGTAACAACATTAACAGTCTTGTAAGATGGTTGATTCTATATAAAAAATTTTAAGTGATATAAATAATAAGATTGAAAATTAAAATTAATACCACAGAATTTGTATGCCACAGATCTTCTTCATATAACCTTAAGCCCAAGTCAATGGCATGCTCTAGATCTTGAGTCATTTTAACTCTGGTTGTTTTATCATGAGATCGGTCTTCAATTTTTTGAGGACGACTTATCATTTTTTGAGTAATTATCATGAGTTTATCAATATCATTATCATCAAAATCATCTTTGTCACCATAATCAGATTCATCACTATCCGAACTAAAAAAATAAATATGAATTACAAAAATTAATTGTAAGTAATAAATATCAATATGAAAATTCTAATGTAGAAATAATAATTACCCAATTGGATTTTCATTAAATTTATTTATCTTTCCACATGGAACAGAAGCAAGGTCTTCATCAAATTGAAATCCAAGATTCCAATCTACAAGATTCTCGGATACATTACGTTTCGATAAATTTGACGATACATTTGTTTCCAAGGACACGGAATTAGTATTCTTGGTCTTAGAACGTCTCTTAACCTATAATGTAATTATTATATAATTGTATAAAAATACAAAACACATTTAATAATTTATTTGAATATCCAAGTAAAAATTAAATACACAGTATCATATACAAAACAAAAATCAAGATATGAAAACAAGAATTACTACATACTTCTTTCCACGATTCAATATCATCTACATTTTCAACAGCTACTGATTTGTATGTATCATTATCATATTCTTCTTCTTGAATTGTATCAGACTTTAAACTAGCTATTAAATTTAGAACAAAATATTTTAATTATTAAACATTTTATAAGGATATCTTGAATACAGTAGGTATATGAACATAGTTCAAGCATGTCTACATAAAGTCTTTCTAGCTTTAAAACTTATTCTGGAAGGCTTCTTACAAATTGTATTAGCAGCAATCTATTACTATCTATTTTTATTTTTTAATATATAAAAAAAAGTATATACTTATAATCATATAAAAGTAAGAATTTATATTCTTACCATACTTTAAATGTTGACTATTCATTTTATTTGATATTTCAATATGTTCACTGGTAGTGTTTTTTTCATTATTATTTTTTATTTGTTCACAGTCAATTGTATCACAGTTGTCTTCAGTCTTCGATTCTATGGGGCCACTCCTTGGAACGAATTCAGGGACATCTGGATTAAGATTCATGGCAACTTGGGGATCAGAAACAATCTGTATACTTGGAGGAGGAGGAGGAGCAGGTAAATTTTTAACCATCAAGTCAGGAGAAATAAGTGGAACAATAGAAGGTGGACCCATGGGATGAGCAAATAATGGATTTTGTGCAGTTAAATTATTTTTAAACAAAAACTGTTGAGGTATTTCTTTAAGTGGCCACTTGGTTGGATCATTGCGACATCTTACCTAATTAAATTTAAACACTTCAATCACTATTTTGAAATATTTATTAGATTTATTAGATTTGAAATATTTATTAATTTCCTTTTTAACATTAATTAATAATATGTTTAACATTTGCATACCATATGACCATTAAGTTCTAATTCTTCCATATCAATCATGGCTTTCATAACAAGGCTAATATCTTGACTTAGTTCTCTAACGCGTTTAAAAGAAGCAATAAATGTAACAGGAACATAACCCTGTTCATCCATATGAAACCTGAAGAAAGTATCCTTACAAAGATTATCTGTTGAAAAATAGTAAGATCTGAAATAGGAATGGTTATTAAAATTAAATTACATTAATATTTTATACATTTTATAAAAAAAAATATTTATATTTTTTTAACGCACATTTGTTGTTTAAGAAGATTAATCACAGTCTGTTCATTTATCACTGGGTAAGTCATAAACGGAACTAGTTCACAATAAGGTTGGGTATAATTCAAACGGGACGGAGCTGAATATAAATCATTTCCTTTAAAATTATAACTAACCTGAAAAATAAACAGAATGTTTAAAAACTTAAAGATTTATTTATAACATTGTGTTAATATTTTAAATGGAGACTTTTTCATTCATAATGAAAATATTCAATCAGTTAAATCAAAAACTACTCATGCAATGTTTTAATTAAATGTAGTAATTAAAGAAACTAAATAAAAATAATAATAAATTGAACTTACAACTTTTTCCATCTGATGATGTTTTTTGAGTGCTTGTTTTAGTCTCTTCATCTTGATGTCTATTGCGAGACCGTTGGTGTCGCAGATAACGCATTGGACCTCCATCACGTTTATCAGAATCTGTCATAGTTGGGTCTGATAAATCAGGAACTCTACGATTATTTTTATTCCGAATTTGATTATTACTTTTATCTCGACCACCTGAAAATAAATATGACCATGTTAATTTTATATATTCAAAAATTATACATTTATTTAATTATTACCTGATCGATCCCTACGATATTTTGATAATCTACTCCTATAACTATTTTCCTTAGATACTTCAATATCAAGAGGTGTCCATTTAGAATGTTTCACTGTGGAAAAAAATATGTTTAAAATATTTATTTTTACAACAAAACGTTTCTAGTTTAAATTATAATGTAAGCTTTTGACAATATTTTAAAACTATTTTGATCATAGAAATCATATTGGTTGCAATATTCTCACATTAGTTATACTCAAGACATTTTTTTTAACTCTTTCATCACTAACCTACACTTTTGTCAAGGGAAATAACTTTTTTAGTAAATACTGAATATTATTTTAATTTTATACCCATTGTTTACCAATCTACAGATTTGTATAAGTTAAAAATATTCGTGGGTTATTATTAATGAAATAGAATATAAATATACAACGATCACAGTACTAAATACTTTGCTTAATTTTAAAATAGAAATATGTTTAAAAATAAAATATTAATAAGAATTAATGGTTAGACCCCTATCGACAAACATGTCATTCTGAAAAGTACTCAATATAAGTTATTCAAATTATATTGTGGGTTCTTTAGATATTATTTTTTTCTAAATATACCTGAACAATCGCGTTTTATATGTCTAAAATCTCTATTTTATTTATTTAGTCTTACTTATTTATATTTTCAAAACTAAACCACACAAATGTGTGGCTAAAGCAATGGTAACAATAGCATCAACGTCGGCTGATTTGACCGTTGACCAATCATTATTAACAAAGTAAATAATATACAAGTGGTTTCAGTGCCTCCGACCCTATTGGCAGATTACACTGATGTCGGATATCCATCAGGTGAAATTTTGTTTATTTGTAATCAGCCGATTCTGTCAACATAATCAGTTCTAACAGGAATATTATATTTATATCTTCAAAACTTTGAATGCTTTTGAATTTTTTCTCTTATATTTTCCAATATATAATAAAAAGTTGATTTACTTCTTCTCAAATAACTGAAAAAAAATCTTCATCCTGTTCCAATAGTTGGTGAAACAATGTATGGAATTTACCATAGTATTCCCTATCCGCAAAAATGTCATTCATGTGATACTTTCGCTTTTTTAATAATAAATATTTAATAGCATACTTGTTTTCAAATAAAAAAAATAAGAGACATCCATTTTATAAATTATTTATTTTATCTTCCTGAAAACTAGTTGTTTTGAACTTAAGACATTTTTACCATACACCAAAGAATTGTAGTAGCCAATAAAGTTGATTAAAGAAAAATATTGAATACTTGAAATTTTTCTAATTTTTTCCAAAAATGCTAATTTAAGAAATATGAAAATAATGTCCTTAAAAGTAGTGAAAATACCAAAAATACATTAAATAAGTAAACATGACAAAAAAAAAAAGCAAAATAAAATTTGAATTATATAAATCTACACCGCTTGAAACATATTTTTTCCAAACTAGGCAATCCATAAGGATTTAGAAAAAAATACACTTGCATCAAAAACTAATATTAACTTAGGTATAAGTACAGGTATATAAATAAAATCAAGTACTGTCCCATATGAGTTTTTTAAAAAAAAATAGTTAAAGGTAAGCTAAAATATCTGATAATTTAGTTGAAGTTATCAGTCTCTCACATTCCTCCTCAAGTCAAGAACTGTAAATAATATATATATATAAAAATACAATTTAATTTACTAATTATTGACGTATCGATTTTTAATTTATTTTTAAACCGACTATTATGAAATGTACACAGGTCTGTTAATAATGGCTGATGTAATTTGGGTTATTAGCTTGTGTATGTAGTAGATATAAATTAATCGGAATATCGATATCGTTATTAACATTTTTTTTTTCAATATTATTGAAAATAAAATGATATCGATATTCAAAAAAATATTGTTAAAAAAGCTTATTGCATTCTATATACATCTATAAGTCTTCTAGCCAGGGATGGCGTGAGGGGGGGGCAATAGGGGCAGTTTGCTAGGCCCCACGACTTAAATTATAATTAAGATCCTGCAGTTCTGAAATAATTTTTAACTGTGTTCACACAGAGAAGTACTGCGACGGTGTGAAGTATGCGTTGCACATCATGGTAATAACTTTGAGCAATTTTTACGATAAATTGTAAAATGTAATCAATACTAACATGTACCTATAATAATTTAATTTTTAAATAAAATCATAATTTTGTTTTAAAACTGAATTAAAATGATTGAATATGTGTTAATTTGTTTAGTTAATTAACCAAAATTCTACTATTTATGACAAATTTAAGTTAAAAATTCGGCAGAAATAATGTAAATTACCTTTACTTATGACAGTACACTTGATTTAAAAAAAAATCTTATGAAAACACAAATCTATTTGTAAAACCATAAGTAAAATATTGAAAAATACGATAAATACAAGTTTTATTAATTGAAACTTTAACTTATTCTTAATTAGTCAATTTTGAAGATAGAGCGAGACTTTATGGATCAAAGTTGCTTAAAAAAATGCACTTAAATCAAATTTGAACTAAAAAATGAGGGGTGCCATTTAAAAAAAAATTATTTTTGTTGTACATTCGCAGAATTTTTTTTTTAAAAATTAAGATTTACTAAAAATAAATGTAAATTTATGTACTTTATGCATAAAAAAAAACCTGAATGGAATACAAGGCCATGCGATCGAAATAATTCGTGTTACCTTTATCGTTGAACACACTGTATACGATAAATACGAATTACCTAATTTAAAACTTTTGACAGTCTTAAAAATGTCAATTTTAAACATATCAAAAAACTGTAAAGATCAAAGTTGCTAAAAAAAAAATAGAGCAAACCAAATTCAGTGTAAAAAATGGTGGTTCCTATTTAAGAAATTTTTATTTTACTGCAAACGTGCAGATAAAAAAAAGTTAAAAATTAGAATTTATCAAAAACATATGCATTTATATGTCCTGTACCCTGGAAAAAAAATCAAAATTAAATGTAAGGTCATGCGTTCGAAAAATTTTTCCTGTTACCTTTAAAATTGAACACACGGTATAATACCAAACTTGAAACAAATTTTGAATTTTTTAAGAACTTAAAAGAAACCGAAACCTAAATCTTTGTATTTTAAAACTGATAATAAACTGAAATTTTAGTTTATTAAGAACCAACATCAAAACCTGAACAGTTTTTTTTTAGAAACCATAAAATTCATCAAGGTTCCTAATATTAACATTAAAAATATAAATTAATTTAAAAATATATAAATACCTTTTTTTCGTTTATCAATATTGTTCGATTCATTGGATGATGAATGACCAGAATTTGTTCCATTTTCCAGTTCATTAGTATTTGAATGGTCATTATTTGTTTTATTTTTTTCAAGACCATTATTTTTTTGACAAGACTTTTGAACAGGATTTACTTCTCGTGTAGATGTTTGGACATCTTTTGAAATAATAGATGTTCCATTATTCATTTTTGTCAAAGTTGATTGGATATTTTGAGAAGAATTTTCACTTTGATTTAAATATTTTTTTCTACGGAAAACATTAAAATTAAGCCTTATAGCAAATATTTTAAAATAAACAAAAATATATCAAATTAAATATGGACAATCATTATACTTACATCTGAACTCTGAGTGTTTCCTAATGAAGGCCAGGCTTCAATACCATTTAACTCTTTATTCTAAAATTAAAAATATACATTTATTTATTTAAACTATAGAAAAAAAACATAACTAAAAACCATATCATATTTTCAATATAATTCCAATTTTAACAATAACATTAATTAATAACATTTATTTATGTGTATTACATAAATTTATAAATTATAGTCTGTTATGGAGTTACCTAATAAGTAGGGTACGGATGTTAAAGAAATTGCATATTTTCAATTGATCAAATTTAATTCGGACTTGGAATCAAATAATACTTTATGGTTTTAGATTTGCATATTTCAGTTCATTTTTTCGAATATTTTTAAAAATAATTTAGGAGACGCATAACATACACTCAAATTACTTTGTTTTAGGTAAACTGAGCCTCGATTACAATTTGATTTAAAAATATGTATGTTAACTGCTTCAAATTAGAATTAATATATTAACACGTTATCGCACTATTGTGATGACTAGAATAAGGATTTTGAAGTAATAAAAAACTAAAGAAAAGTACACACAAAAAAAAAAAAAATAATAAAATAATAAATCTTCCAAAAAGCTTAAAGCATAAAAAATAGGGTTTTTTAAAGAAAATAATTTTAGCCATTTTGTAGATGATTATACAGGGTTACAACAAAAACTAAACTGTAGTTCTGAGTAGACAATTTCCAGAACAGGAGCATATTTTTGTTTTTGTTATCGTCTATCTACTACATATCATAAGGTACTGAACACATAATTTCAAGAAATTGTAATTAAAAATTAGTTTGTCAAGAAATAATTAAACAATATTTGGAACACATTTTGAAAATATGCAACTTTTTTTTTTTTATTAGAAACGATAAAATAAAGAATCTATAATGTTTTTTTTACAATAAGCAATTTTCAGGAGTTATGTACTAGGCATGGTGCCGTGTGAGAGGGGAAGTCACTTGGGCCCCCCACACAAATTTTCTCAGTGGGGCCCAGTATTCATATGTATGAATGTATGAAATTAAATTAAATAAAAATAAAATAAAAAATAAGGAGTAAAAAAAGCCTAGTTTTTAAAATTGGATGAACACATAAGTTCCTTTCCTTTTTTTACCTTATTTTCTAATCCTCAAACGACCCATAAACACACAGCATTTATCACATCCATTATATATTTTCAACTAAAAATATTAAAAGATTCATGTTTGACACTTATAAACGAAATAACCTAATAACACAACTATCTGAACGGTCATAAGCATGTTTTGTGGATCGTGTACTAGCGTTCATGTGAACCTAGCCTTAGATGTCAAAAAATTCTAGTTCTATATAAATCTATTATAAAATTTAGAAATGAGTGCAAAGGATCGGAATTTGAAAAAATAAATCAATACATTTTTTTTTACAAGTACAAAATATTTAAAGATACGCAGAGTTCTAAAATCTAGAATATTTCTCAGGGTTGAAACATACAATATGGTATAGTATAAAACATATATTATAGGTATGTATAAAATATACAATCTAAAAGTTTTATACCGTGTAAACAAAAATACAGTAATAATTTAAACTAACAATAAAATAGGAAATATAAATTATTAATAAACAATTGTAATGCTATTAATCTATTATTTATAATAATAATTAACTTATCACGAACATAGGTATTTGTAGTAAATTCATTGCAGTTGTGAAATTTATAACACTAATATTTTTATACTATTAAATTTTACACGAAAAAAAAGGATTTAAGTTAATGTTAATATTTTGGTTTAAATAATTGTACATGGATAATTTTACACACACATATATTCTGTATCTATAACAATATTTTATTATCTGTATATATAAAATAATAAGCTGATTGACTGCTATCAACGCACAGCTCAAACCATTGGACGAATCTGGCTGAAATTTGGCATACAGATAGCTATTATGATGTAGACGTGCGCTAAGAAAGGATTTTTTGAAATTTTGAATTTAAAGGGTTGAAATCGGTTTAATATTTTTTTGACCAGGTCGTCTTTGTCTTAATCTTGGCAGGTTACATACATTTATATACTTAAACCCGGCAACGACGGGTAATTCAGCTAGTTATTTATAAAACATAATTTTGAATTACCTAATATATTTTCACATAATTTAAAAATCAAAAACCTAACTTAATATCTGAAATACTAAGTACTTTTAATTTTTTAAGAGTGAATTTCAAAAACAAAACTTTATGTTTTATATTTGATCTTGTATATTACCAAACCCTGATATATCTATAGTCCTGATAAAACAATTATGACTATATACTACTGAGTAATAACAATGAAAGTCAATGAAGAAAACTGCTTATTAAGAAAGATTGGTAAGGAATTGAAAATATTTATTTACTATGATTGCATCTCACATAAGAATGACTGTAAATATTAAGGAAAATGTATATTATTAATAAGTACTCAATAATTTAAAAAAAAAATGCTTACTAATATCAACCTTATTTATGAATCATTAAATAAGAATATTGCGTTTTTTATTTCAACCAATCTTATTATTTTTATACATTTATTTTTTCTCTGTTGCATACTTTGCCCGTAATAAATAAATTATTGTGTACAGTTTAACATAAATATATTGAATAAGGTACCTTTTTGATTTTATTGAATTTAATAGAACTGCTACTTAAGGCTTTACCACTTGACATATCACCTATAAAATCAAAAGTCAAACATAAATTAACATACGATCAATACAGCAATATAAGTTACAAGTCCTATCGTACCTGACCATAGGACTCATTGAAACAAAACATCTTGCCTTTTTATATATAAAAATATAAATAAAATAATAATAATAATAATAATACATAAATACGGATATATATATACTATATTGATTTATAAAATGTTAGTAACTTTTAGTTACTAATATTATTATTATTATCAAAAATATTGGTAATACCATTGATATACATAGATACATAGATAGCCCATAGCTATACGCAATATAGAAACACGTAAATTAGTACGGATTATGTGACAATAGATAGCGTTGGTAAATACTAAATTGTACACAATACACAAACCGGTAGAATAAAAATAAACTTCGATAAGAAGAATTCTAAGAATATAAATTAAATTGAATATTATTATTTACTAAATCCATTGATTAAATATACATGTATATTTAATCAATACTAAATCTTAATGGCTAATCATATAATGTTATTTTATTTTCGAATATTATGTTTTCTCATGTTACTACTCTGATAATTGCTGAATAAAGTTAAGTTTAAAATGTTAATTTTAAGTAAAATAATTATTTTTTTTAAATAATAATTTTTCAGAAGCAACTCAAGCACACTAAGGAACATTATTGATTTATTTTATATTTAATCAATGAGAATATAGGTACCATAATTGATTTAGGATCTAGCAAAATATTTTTATTTTAAACAAAACAACTTAAAAACTTACACATCCATCTAAAATTATTGATAATAAATTTTAAAAAGGCTGTGGTTTTACACTTTTACAAATTAACAAACACATAGATACATTATTTTATAATCAAAAATTAAAACAAAAGTAAACACAGGTTGGAACAGATCTAAAATCTTGATAATAAATTATAAATTTAAGACAATAACAATTTTAAATAAAAGTATAGTATAGATAATGTAATTATAATTATTACATTTTACGTACTTAAGAGCAACGTTTTACACGTATTGATGATCAGTATTACAAAATAAAACGTTTTAAATGTTTGTTTTGTTAAAAATAAATAGTATATTTGAAAACTATTTATATACTGTGATAATGAGTTAATACCCATTAATAACACATATACAGCACATATTATTCATAAATAGTAATAACATCGTTTTAATAGACTAAATATGAATTAACCAATGGCAATATTAAAAATTTATATATTATGAATAATAATAATATAATAATAATATAATAATAATAATAATAACACCTTGTTCATATTTTTATACACTATATTTATAAATTGTACACTTATATTATCATACTTAATTCACTCATTGCGTTAAATTTACATATTTGCAATTTTGAATTGTATCGTTAATACAACATATAACCTTTTTTCGAAAATTGTTTAGTAATTTTGTTATAGGTAACAGCTAAAATGATCATATATTAATTAAAAAATGCTCAGCCATGTTTAATTTATTTCAACATGAATAAATTCTTAAGATATACTTAGTCAATAGTCGTATTGTAAAGATAAATAAAAGAAAAAAAAAAATCTGTTGTACTTTACAGGATTCGAAATCGAAACCCCTGGGTTCAAAGCCGTATAATATGACCACTGAACAACAAAAATAGCGCACTCTGATGTCTAGCTCCCATACTACTAGATTTCTGGCTCCCCCGGTCAGTTATTGGGAGCTTCCATACATTATCATTGTATGGGCTATCTATGTATATTTAATCAATGGTAATACTAAAAAAAATATTTAAACATAAGTTCCTAATTTTTCAGATTTTTACATCAATTTATTAGCTTTATACAGCATCATGAGAATGAAAAACATGAACAATTTATCAATTGTAGAATTAGTAGGAAAACATTTATTTTGTATATTAAAATATATTATGGAATATATTGTATTCTTATTCACAAATATTCAGATATCAAGTTAATTTTTAAGCTGTGATTTTTCATCACAGGAAAAAATTTGATTTGATTTAATGATAAAAATCATTCAGTTTCTTGTTTGTAATCAAGTAGGTATCCAATATAGGTATCAAATAGGTAATGTTGGTCACAGTTCTCTCGAACCGTGATGATACTTATTATACCTTAGATCAGTATTTCTAAACCTTATGCTAAGAATCATATAAATAAGTATTTTGAAGTTTATGGTTGATTATTATGTACATTTAAAATTTATAACGTGAGGTGTAATATTAATGGTAAATGTAAATTTACCAATGTAAATTTAATACTAACCAATTTTCCAGCTATCCAAATCAACATACTAATTATGGTTACCCTAGAACTAAAGCGTCACATGAGAATAAGTAGTAGAGCTCAATCCCAAAAATTATGCTATACAAACTTATAAATTAATACCCAAAAAATTGAAAAATAAATAATATTAGGTTTATTTTAAAAAAAATTAATTTTAGTATCTTTGTTAGTAAGAAAAAACTAATAACACTTAAAAATAAGAATTACTCTATGCCTGAACTCAGATTTTACTGGTTAGGGTGGGTACCTCAAAATATATATTTTCGACATCCTTGTCAAAAATCTACTGTGCGCCACTGAATACGCTCCATACTTAAAATCAGTGCTCAAATTGGGGTGGTGCGTAGGGGGTCGGAGCTTCTCTATTTTTTTTTTCTTTTTGCGTATCCCAACTATATTTTTTCACCGGAACGGGGGGAACGCCGCGTTCATCCTAATTGATGTCCTAAATAATTTTTATGTGAATTTCAATTTACGTTAATTTGAAAACGAATTTTACATCCGATGGACACGTTTTATTTTGAGTTGTATCTGGTCATTTTTTTTTTTTTTTTAATACTAATAAATGCATATTTTAATGATTTTGGAAGCATAATTGCATTCATATTTATATATTTTTTAGAGCTATAAGTCCCTAAGCCTAGTTATTAATATTGGCGATCGACGATATCGGCATTTCGGAAAAAAATAAATGCCCGCACCACGACTAATCTTCGGCCGTAGCCCGCACTAAAGAGTAAAAATAGATAAAAACAAAAAACTAAATATATGATTATATCATTCGATTCATGAAACAGCCTGATCACCAACAATAATTGTAGTAAAATAATAATTAAAATAATTATTATTTTATTTTTATTTTCTATTGTAACATGTAGGATGTTGGTATTGCTATCAAAATATATTATATTTGGAATTAAAATATTTGTTTAGTTGAAACGTGGTATTCAAAATATATATAAGGTTGGCGGAGAGTAGGGGTGAGGGACGAAGCCCCCTACGGGTCTGTGTTAAATAATTGCGCACGTGGAACGCAGTTTTCAAATCGTTGGACTGAGCTCCTCTACTTAATTTTTCCCAATTCGAGCAATGCTTAAAATGTACTAAGTACATACAATGTAAATATTAATGATGGTCGAACGGTTCGAAATTCAAACTAGGCATGAAAAAAAAATCGAACCAAACTATCAAGCATCTTTTACTGTTCGAAAATCAAACATGAAAATATTTGTCGAACCAGACTACGATAGTTCAAAAACTAAATTATTGTACAATTCTTCAAAAGTTATATTTGAAAAATAAAAATTGATGATTATTTAGAAATAATTAGACCATTGGTGATAGAAAGTGATAATCTGTAAATGGCACGTTATGCATTATTTAATGCTATTATTATAATAATGTTATTTTTCCAGTCGCACGTTACACATCCACCCTCCGCCGACCGAAACATTAATAAATTGTTTATCACATATAGAGGCAGTGCATCTACATTCATAAATTAGCTATTTTTGTTTTTATCATATTCATTGTAGAGGTTAAAATCTATTTTGGGTAAATCCATGGTAATATTCCGATACCACGACTAAGCTGTTAATAAAAACATGTTTACAAATTACGTCTTACATTATAAATTCTACTAATCATTCTATATTTGTGAATTATAGTTATTATCACTACTTTTTTATATATTATTAAAATGTACTGATTGTATTGTCATATTACACTCAATAATCAATGAATATTTTATAAGACAACACGAGAGAGCACAATATTGGTTTTGAAAAAAAATAATAGCAATAAGAAATTATCTATAATTTAAATGTATTATAAATAATACAATTACTTAAAAGTTAAAATGTAGAATAAGTAATACGAAAACTTAAAATACAATAGTAATTAATATTTATGGTTGATTTAATTTGTAGATAGGTACAATGTACATGATAAAAAATATTGAGTTCGAGTTCGATTTAAAATCATAATAGATTCGATTAGGTTGAAAATATGAAGATTCGATTCAGTTGAGTTCAAAAAAAATAATTTGAAGTTCGGTTCGATTTAAAAAATCAGGGTTCAACTCATCACTAGTATATATTTAATTATATAGATATAATTAAAAACAAAAATTAATTTATCTCTGGAAAAATATTTACTAATTAGAATTTAAAATACCAATTCCTGTTGATAAAAAATAAATACATTTGTTTTGTTCATTAAATACTGAACATCAATAAAAAATGCTTTGGCTATTTTTAAATTCAAGGTTTGAAATAACTATAAATAAAAACATTAATATTTTAACTTTTGAGAATTATTTATCAAATAAATATTTTTATATCTAAGTCCTAATATAAAAAATTTGTATTATGTACATAATTATAATTAAATAAATACCAATCTGTAAAATTTGAATGTATTATTAAGTTTAAAACACAAGTCAAAAAAAAAAAAATAAATAAATATTTAAAATACTGTTGGTAGACAATTAATTAATACAATAAAAAAAAATTACTAATATTAATTTAAAATTTTTTTAGTTTATCAATAACAGTTTTAGCACTTCTGATCATTTTTATGATTATGATTATAATACAATACATATAAATCAGTAATAATATAAGTATACATTAGATTTGTAAAAACACGATTTAGATAATTTAGACCATAAAATAGTCATAATAATTGACGTACATAAAGTTTATCCAAGTGTTTATCTCATGTAATATTAATCAGGTATTTGAACATTGAATCATCACACTATTATATCGAACCATTGTTACTACTTTATCATTGGCTAAATTAGCATGGCTTGATTTTTTTTTTTTTTTTTATCTATAAAATTAAACATTTTTGCAAAACTTGCATTTAAAATAGTTTTTAAACATTATAATTATGTAAGGATGTATTAAAATAATAATACTATTATTAAATTAGCTAATTATAATTATGAAATTTGTTATTCAATTTTTATTATTGTCAATGTGTCATAAACTACTATTATTTTGTTTTATTTTTCAATATTTTTTTTATTTTTTTTTTTGTTACTTTTTAGTTATATTTTTGATATTTTGTTAAGTTAAGATTTTACTATATTACTGTCTATCAAAGGAAATTAACCCCTTTACAATAAATAAATAAATTAATAAATAAGTGTGTACATATAACTATCTAAATTTATAATAATAGGTAAATTAATATTCCATCTAAAAAATTTTATTAAATACATAATTATAAGTAACTACCTACTTTATATTATTGTATTTTATTTAAGCAATAATGGGAAATACTTTCCAAATTTTATTCATATTTATTTTAATGAATACAGAAATGTAAAGCATTCTTTATTTTTTAATATAATACAAGTATGCACCTTTTAATTGTATATCTATCTAATAACTTTTTTAGTTCAGAAAAGATAATTTAACAGCCCAAATATTATTTAATTCAAAATTAAACATATTAGATACCTAGTTTAAAATACACATAATAATAAACATCTGAATAGTAAATAATTAAAGAATGAATTAATCTCATAAAAAAAATACAGTACACTTTTAATGGCAATTATATTTATATTAAATATAAAATTAGTTCCAATTGTTAATTTAAGTTTTATTTTATCTAAAAACTTAAAATAAATTTTCAATTAAATTAAAAAAGAAAATAGCATATATTTCCAAGCATCAAATTAGATAGATTTAACAAGAAAAATCATTCATAACTTTTTAATAACACATTGAAAAGTAAATTTTCATTTTTATAAAGTATTATATATTCAAATATCTGTTAACATATTTTTACTTCTTTTGTCCTGATAGTTTTTTATATTATATACAAATTGATTTAGATATTATACCTAATATAAATGTAATTATTAACAAAAAAAAAATAAAAAAATAACATAAGTATTATAAAATATTATCAACTGATTAAAGTGTATTTATTAATTGTATCAAAAACTATATAGTATATAAAACATACATATAATTTTAAAAAATTAATTATATTCCTATATTTTTATTGTAAATTTACTATATAAATTTTCAATACAATTATATTCAAAATGCAATAAATCTTTTTTTGATTTTAGTAGTGTTTACAGGTAGTATTATATACCTATTATTTAATTTATTATAATTTATTTTATAGAAATATATTAATATTAAAATACTTTTACAGTTATAGAATAATTAATAACTATAAAAGAACTACCAAACTAATATAACAATCTAAAATATGAACTAATAATTAATTTTCATTATTTTTTTTACAAATTTCATACATTAAATCAATTATTAAAAAATAATGAAGCTTATTTAAAATAATGTATTCTTAAATTATATAATCATTAAGATATAAAAACCATCAAAGTTAAAATGTATAACAACCTACTTAATATTCATTAATAACCAGAAAATATTTTAGTGTTACTAATAATTTTTAGTAGTTTCAATAAAATTAACACAATACCTTAGAAAATTTGTCAATATTTAAACTTAATCAAAATTAAAATAAATAAAATCAAAAAGGATATTTAACATAAGTATTTCAAAAACTACTAAACAAACTAAAAAAATTAAGTTTAATAGAACTTACAGAAATACTTTATAATTAAAAAATTAAAACCTGTTGAATGTTGATTAACATAAATAAATCAACAACAAATCAAGTACTTACTACTTAATTTAAATTAATAAATAAAAATGTAATGTAAAGTGGTAGTTAAAATAAATTAGTAGAATTAATTTTTATTTCTGTTGAAAGGCTACTATCAAACTCAACTCATTTGAGCTAAAAGCTCTGGAGTAGTGTTAGCGAAACCATTCAATTATTATGGCATAGATCTAGGACAAATTAAATAAATATATTTAACTGTTAAATATTGAGATCTTGCGAAAAAAAAGTACATTATAATCTAGATAGTTTATTATGTTTAAATTTAATATTCATTAACAGAAATTTAATAATATATATAAATTCTATGACCTATGAATTAATAATTTATAGCAATTATAATATAGTCATAGGTACTAATCCAAGTGATACATTTTATTATGAATCCAAACTTAACTAATTTGACTAGGTACCTGATCAAAGTAATAATAAATGTATTTTAATATATACATTATTCATAATATATTATGGATACTTAGGTATGTCAATAAGATTAATAATATTCTTTCAAAATTAGATTTAATAATATACCAAGATATAAAAAATACTCACAACTAGTTTGTTGCTGAGGTAGCAAAATCCTTTTCTCTCCTACAGTTGGATCCTTTTCTTTGACAGACTCTTTTGAACGAACTATGTGAGCGGCATTTTTATTTGCAGTCCATGGGTTGGTTTTAGGCAATGGCGCTTCAACAAATTTTTTTTTATCATTATTAGTAGATTCGTTTTCACTGCCTTCGTCACACTTGTTTAAATCTGGTAGCTGTTTGTCTTCCCCTAGCACAGGTGATTGACATTGAGCAATTTTGTTAACTGTACCATCAATATCGTCAGAGGCCGGAACATATTTTTTGGTACGTATATTCTCTTTATTGCACACACTCTTGGTAGACATGACAACTGATGTCGCAGTTGAAGATTGTACTACCACGGGATCCATGCTAATCATTTAAAAATCTTATCGATCCGTAACAATGACTTTACTCAGACATTTCAGTATGACATAGCAACAACCGAATGGTTGTCAAGCAATTTCGTTAACAAAAATACGAGAGTAAAAAGGACATACTTATTATTGGCAACTAGAGCAAATTATTTTTCTTAAGACTAGCTTGGAGTTAGATTATGACGCGACTGACAACCATCAACTTGTGATTACACCACTTAATACGGATAAACAAAAATTTTAAAATGTTTAGATGCACTCCAACAATGAAACCATAGAGAAACCCAAGAATTTTATAATAATAATTAGAAATTAATAAATCTGTAATATATAATTTGAAGCAGAACCATGTGACTTTGGAAACGCAAAAACTACACGAACTGCGTGTTCGGTAACCCGGCACGTTTCTACTTTACTGCGCAACGCATAAGATATGGAAGAGAAAATTGTTTATCAGTAAAAACACATGTGTTCAAGCCAAAGAAAATGTAATACACCATTAGCAATAATTATAAATTTGTAACCAGTAACCAAGATCAAAGGTTACCATAACATAATATAAGCAAAAAGGCTCTTTCACTGATATCTATTAACTTTTCCTAATCAATTCGGGTTATATCCTAAATTTTAATGTAATCTGCCTCTTTTAGATATAAAAAAGCTGGGCAAGTTAACGATTTTTTTTAACTCGTTAAGTTAAATTATTTTAAAATAATAAAGTTAATTACATTAAAAGTTACTTATATTTTTTTAGTTAACTCGTTAAGTTAAAAGTTAACTTTGAAAAAAAAGTAACTTAACTTAGTTTAAGGTTAAAATTTTCTAATTTGCATAAATAATAAATTGCACACATAATATTAGTCTTTTTACGCTCAAGAAAATTACTGGGGAAATTTAAAATGATACATAAAAGTATTAACTAGCTATTAAATAACCTACTTTTCTAAAATAAATTTTAGTCCTAAACTCATACTCAAATCAATTTACAGTTATAATAATGAAATTAAATTGGAAATTATACCACAGTTGTTTTGTGATTAATCCCTCATCGACACTCGCTCTCATAGTATTTACTATTTTCACAGAATACTTTTAGGATTTCCATAGGTTTATAGTGCTTATACAATTACAAAGTTATAAATATATAATGATAAAATATAGCCCATATAATGACCATTAAACAGGGACGCAATTTCAATGAAAAAATCTGAGGGTGCTGAAGCCTTTCTATCTTTTTCATGTTCCTTAATGGTTATGGACACCCGAAACCCGTACAATTCAACAGTTAATAAAATATTAGGTAAATATTTGAATATTTCTAAATTTTAATTTTTGCTTTGATTTTATATTTTTATTGCGCATATAACGTCTGTAAACACAAATGTTTCTTTCACAAAATTTTTAGATTCTAAGAGAAGCGAAAAATATTATGATTTTTTAATGATGCTAGTAATTTATTTTTTTAACATTTTTCGCATAGAAATACTGCTCCAAAAGTTTTTTTTTATCAACTTTTTAAATTGACATGCGGTGGTAATTTTTTTTAAATCTCAATAGTTTTTCTATGCGTGAGGAAAATACTGTCCTGAAACAGTAAAAATACGCAGTAAATAAGACTTTCACTTTTCAGATTTTAGTTATTTAGTCATAATTCCAAAATTAAGATGTTTGACATTATAGCGTTTATAAAGATTACTGATTTTTTGACATTTTCCCAATTTACTATTGTTTTTGGGGCTAATGTTATCCATAACATTGATTTTAAATTAGTTACATGTTGATTTGAATTCTTCCATTTTTTTAAATAGTTGTATCAAAGTACATAAAATTCATCACATTAATTTTTAAAATTAGTTCTATTGATAATTCCTCGTCTTCAAGTTTTGTTACCAAATTTTCAATTTCTACCGTGACAAACCGATCCTTTCTTTTGTTTTCAATTTTCTTGATATTTTATCGAGTGAAATTTTGAAACCGGGATAAATCGCTGTTCCGAAATACTTTCTTGGGACACTGGGACACTTAGTTAAAAACCGGTAGTATCCCGGTAAAACCGGGACGTATGGTAACCCTATACTATTATCTAGTTCGAGGACCGAAAAAACGAAGGACAAACTTCCACTACCATTATTTAAATAATAAATTTATACATTTATTCAATAAAAACTCTGTTTTTCTATACATAATGAATAATAAGTATTTAAATGTAAATTAACATGAACACATTTCAGGGTGCTCATTTCAAAAATGGGGGTGCTTAGCACACCCAAGCCCCCCCTTCCAAATTGCGACTATGCATTAAAGTTATTTTCATATTATTTTCGTCTACAGAAAATTCATATTAAAATAGTAAATTATAAATATACTAAAAACCTCATTTAATAATTTGCATTATTCTTTGCACTAAAATTAACTTTATTCAGATACTTTTAATAGTTATAACGTTAATCTTAAAAAAAAAAGTAATTTATTAAGTTAAAAGTTAATTTGTAAAAAAAAAGTAACGAGTTAATTAACTTAATTTTAACTTTTAACTTGTTAATGCCAAACCTTGAATATAAATACTTTCAAAGCTAGACTCCGTTATAGTTTAAAACCTAAATGCAATATATCCAAAAGATATAATGAAAGATGCTTCTACTGACTGACTAATCAAAAAAAAAAAAAAAGATACTAATAGAAGTATCAATGTTTTTTCGACTATTTCTATATTTCGCTTGTTTTAATTTCCATTAAAAATATATAGCACACCTAAATATAGGTGGAATTGTAAACATATACATCTTCGAGTACAAAAATAACCCAACTATGTTATAGCAAAACATTTTCAAGCATTGCAATTCTTCGATATATTATTTTTAAGGCTACTGATAGGGCCGTATTTAAAAATTTGGTGACCCCGGGCATGTAATTTATACCTCCCTTCTCCCAAAAAAAATTAAATAATAATAATAATATAACACTTATTATTTCGTCCATAATCGAGATTCTTTAATATTAAAATAGAACTTATAAATGAAAATCGTTTAATACTTTTTTTTAATTAACAAATTAAACAAAATATGACATAATAAGACATATAATTTCCTTTTTTTTTTAATTAAGAAATTATAATATAATAAAAATACAATTTTTTTTTTAATTTACAAATTATAACATAAATAAAACATACTATTTATTTTTTTTATTTTTTTATTTGTTTTTCATTAGGTACTTCATTTTTAAAATTAATTTTGCTAAAATATTTTGTCGCCCCCGGGTATGTGCCTACCCGTGCCTCCCTTAAATACGGGCCTTGCCACTGATGTAGGTAAATATTATTTTAATATAATATTAAACACCAAAAAATTAGATCTACATTTTTTTATGTACTCGTAAGTGAATCAACCTTAGAATTTAATTAGTAGATTATTTATTGTTTTATACCTCAAAATGTTAAATTGAGATAAAAAGTACAGTATTATTTTGTGTTTGAATGTATTTTTGAACTTTTAATGGAAACGCTTTTATGGTAGGCAGTTATGACTAAATATTAAGCTATGATAATCTAATATAACCGCCAAGTTCTTGAGATATATGATACAAAAATAATTTTTGTCGATTTGCGTACAAACTTTTTAATAATGTATAACATAATAAATATATATACTTACCTATATATAAATAATAATATTATTTCTCTTTAAACCGTGGAGAATACATCTTTTTTTGCCTAAGGCAAAAATACTATAAAGGTTAGCTTACATAACTGCTACTTTCATGTACATAATTCAAACATTGAAATTAAATGCACCTATACATTTTTTTTTTCTATTGTTGATAAATCCATAAAGTAAAAAATAAATATGATTTAAATCACTTCACGACATTTTTTATGCTGAATTGGCAATAAAATTATTTGAATAAATTATTTTGAATAAAATGATTTGGTTAGAACAAAGTTTAATAAAAATTATTTATAAAAAATATATAATAATGTATAAAATATATAAAAAATATAAATATGGTCCTGAAATTTCAAAAATATAAAGTTTCTAAATAATTTAAATCCCAAATTTTTTTTTTTCAATGACTAAAACTTTTATTTATACTGAAAATTATCAAATTTATTGAAAAAAAAATCACATGAATTTATGATAAATTAAATAAAATTTTAATTGTATTATTAATACCGTAATAGTTTAGTATATTATCATCCATTTACTTGTTTTATAAGCTCGCAACGAACTTAGTCAAAAAAATACTTTGATTAGTTTTGAGAAACCCGCTTAGTAAAAAAGTAAATGAACACTTTTTAGAATAAAAAAGTCAAAATCTTAATTATTCATACTATCAAACACTTCATATTATGTTAATTCTCTTAGTTTTATTTTAACGCATTCAAATCTGAATTATATTAATATTACAATATGACATAAATGTTATCTACAAATAAATATAATATACACTATAATAAGAAAAAAAATCACGAATTATGAAAATAAAAGCACTTTTTATATTCTTTAATTTTTAGCATAGAAATAAATAAAAATTTACTTTTGTTACATATTAAACATTGATTTATATTTTCATTTAGTATTAAATAATATTGTAGAAACAATTTGAAAGCGGTACTTCGAAAGTTCCTATGTATAAATTGGAATTGTATAAGGTGTAGCTCAATATACTAGTAGTATAGGAGGACATTTGGTTGAATTTTTGGAAGGGCTATAATAATTCAATGTAAAATAACCCGCAGACGCTTCGCCCCTACACCCTCTTCCAATGCACAGGTAAAACTTATTACTATTAAAAATATTGATATGTTTAAATTGTATTAAAAAAAACACTAAATAACATATATTTAAAAATAATTAATATTTTATTTTAATAACAAATATCTATTTGAATCAGCAAAGATATTCAAAATATCATCGCTTTTTATACTTTTCGATATATTTTTTTCAATATATAGTATTGAAAGATCGCTGAACCTGTCATGAACCAACGATGTCCTTAGCCAAGTTTATATTTTTTTCATTGCACTGAATCTTCTTTCACAAGTAGCCGAACTAATTGGTATTGTTAATGTTATTGTAAATAGATTTTTATAATTTTTTATTTTACGATTTTCAAAAAAAAACGAACAGATAATTATTAAAACAACGAATAACATTTCTAATAAAGTTTCGATTTTGAGGGGGCTATTAAAATATTTGGGTGGCTAGCTATTGACTTCTAAGCTGTGTCTGTAGATCGATAATCTATACGTTTAAGGTTATTCCAAACTAATGGTACGGTCACGGTCCGGCAATGGGTAAAGTATAATATCTATATTTATATTAATTTTATAATTATTATTGCGGGTTTTCACAATTCTTATAAATTATAAAAACATTTTTTTCAATACTATAGCATAACAAAC